GGAGATCTGACTCTCTCTTTGCCCCTGATCTCTGCCCATGAGCACCTGGTGGTAACCAGACCTCCCTCCCTGCCTGGTCCCCAGCCTGCCTGGCCGCTGGCTGCCCTGAGGATGGGGCTGCTGTGAATGGGAGAGGAGCACACTGGCTCTGGTTTCCTAGAGGCTGTGTCTCAGAGAGATAGGCCAGACTCTACTGTCGGCCCCCGTGCCTCAGTTTCCTTTTGGTAAATGGACAGGGTGTATGTGTGGGCTCGGGGACCGGCACCCTTCGGAAGGACTCTGAAGAAATCAAGCACTGGGTTGGTGTCACTCTGGGGCCCTTCTTCTCTTTCGCGGGGACTGAAGGAGCAGGATAGATGGGCGCCCTCAGAGGCACCCTGTTTTCCTGCAGCATCTGGCATCGCCTAACAGTGTTCAGCGCAGGGACAGAGCCAGGAACAGCTTGCGTCGGGAGCGGGTGGAAAGTGGAGGAGAAAGAACAAGTCCCAGGCTGTGGGGCCTTGGCTCAGTTTGGGGCGGGGACTCAGGATGAGAAGGAGCCAAGGTCGCTAGACGGCCTGCACTTTGTGTTCGCTCTGCCTCCACCTCCAGGAAGCCAGGGTAAGAGAAGCTGAGGAAGAAGCAGCCTGGGAGCCTCCTCAGGGCGGTGGGGGCAGCAGGGACGTTCATGAGGGCTCTGGCAGCTGTGAGCCAAGCACAGGTTGCAAGTGTTCTGGGCGCACCCAGGAGGGCAGCTGCTGCCTGTGCACCCCTTGCCCCTACAACATCCCTGTTGTCCTCCTGGTCCCCAAGGTGCCACCTAACTGGGGGAGGGGAGTGCATCTTAAGCCTGCTGGGCTGCTTTGTGAGCTGAGGCCCAGGGAAGAAACCATAGCTGTTGCAGATGTTGGGGGCCCAGGAAGTGAACCCCTTTCCTATCCTCACTCTTCCCCTCCTTGGAGCCTCCATTGCTGCCCCCTGCAGTGTGCTCAAATCTGTGGCCCTCGGGTGAGGGCTGTCTGAGCTGACGAGGGTGTGCATGCCAGCCCTTGGGGCATGACGGATGTGTGGGAGGAGAACGTGGAGGGCAGCGCCGCGGGGTGTGTCTGTGGTGTGTGGCCCAGTGTGCTCGTACAGCGGGTTTGCCAGGTTCCTGGACACGCTGAAAGCGGTGCCAGAAGAGGGGACACCGCAGTGTGCAGGACCTGGTGTGCAAGAAGTGCAGATGGAAACGGCCTTGCTGAGGAGAGCCATGAGTGTCAGCAGGGGTTGGGCCCGGGGATGGCTCAGGTGCCTGCCTGGAAAGCGCAAGGTCCCGAGCTGGGTACCCAGGACCACATGCTGTGCAGGCCCCAGGACTGGGCGTGGTGGCACACACTTGGGAGGATGAGACAGGAGACCTCTGCGAGCCTGGAGGAGCTACAGAAGCAAGCACAGGGCCAGCCTGAACTGCGTAGCAAAAGCCTATATCAAAAAAGAACAGAAAAGAAAAAAGAACATCAGCATGGGGACCCGAAGCATTAAACCCAGCATAGGCTTTTGTGTGTGGACCCTGTTTAGACATCGTGTGTGTGTGTGTGTGTGTGTGTGTGTGTGTGTGTGTGTGTGCATCTGTGTGTGCTGGTGTTCCTGGGTGACTCTGGGGCACCTGCTGCCATGTGCTCACGCACCAAACTCAGGCACTGTTCTTCCTGCTGGGACTGCCCTGCCGCACCCACCTAGTGCAGAGTGGGTTTTATTTTTGGCGCCTTTACTGTTGTACCCGTGGTGCCCTGGCGGCTTTGTTTGACTACCTTTGTTGGAAGGGTGACAAACACTTCCCTCCACCTGCTGCCACCCTGGCCCCACCAGAAACCACAGCTGGGGGTGGGGCAGCTTCCTCATCCCTGCCCCAGCCCTGCACCCCTGCCAGCAGCACCCTGGCTGGCAGGGACCCTACCCAGACAAAGGAGGAGGAGGGGGCTCAGCGAGGGGAGCTGACCCCTGCCAAGGGCAGAGCCTGGACACCTGTGTGAGAAGCAGGTTGGGCCGAAGGCAGCTTAGCGTGGTGGCAAAGCCCCGGGCATGCCTGGCTGTGGAGGGTACCTCTGCTGGGAGACAAGAGCCATAATTTGTTGATTCCTTTTCCTCCTGGGTCAGAGCTGTGCACCCAGCAGGTTCTGAGAGAGGTGGGCTGGGCCTGGAGCGGCTCCAGAAATATCTGGCGGTGAATAAATAGCTATCTGGGCTAAGAGCGCAACAAACAGGCAGCAGTAAGCATGTGGGAGGCCAGCGGGACGTGACTGGAGCCCTGAGCGCTTCGTTGCCCCTGCTGTGTGACCTTGGCCTCTAAGCCCCTTCCGAGCCTAATGGAGTGGCACTCCCCGGTGTCCTTGGCACATCCTGGTGCTCAGGAAGTACAGCTGTGGCCCCTCCATTCCATCAGCCTCTTCCTGACACCTCCTCCTGGCCTCTGGGCCGCCAGCGCTGACACAGAGCAGGAGGCCATCCGGCGAGTACCCCAAGGTGGGGCCCTGTCAGCTGAAATATTGGGGCAAGGGATCCTCAGGGACTTAGGAGAGTCTAGCTGGTAGCTCCCGAGACCTGCCCAGTGCGTGTGGGAAGGCAGGAGATGACAGCACGGATCAGCCACACGTGGGGCATGCGCAGCGGCGGCAGTGTGTCCCGAGAGCTGCGCCCTCTCCGGCGCAATCCTAACACTCACTGCCTTGGCTGGAGGTGCAGGGCCCAGCCTGTGTCTGGCTGGGTCCAGGACAGGGGCTGCAGGTATCTGGGCTGGCCACGGGCGGGCAAGCTGGGGCTGTCACCCAGCTGTTCCACAGGGCAGGGGCAAGGGCGCTCTTCGGGGTGGAGAAAGGGGACCCCTTTAGTCTCCTGTGGTTTCCTAGGGGCTCAGACCTGGGAATCCTGGTCACTGCTGACCCCGCTTCCAGCCTGGGATTCTCAGCCCTATCGCATTAACACAAATCCAGTTTCCTTTGGGCAGGCTGGCCTTCCTCGGCTCCGAGCTGCCTCTGGTGTGCTATAAACTACGTGGAATTGAACTCGGTTGCTTTGGGCCCAGCGACGTTTTTGGGCTCCCATTTTGTAAGCATCCCCTAAATAAATGCTCACCAACAATGCTTATCTCTGAGTTTGTAAGTGCTTTGCTTGTGTGGGTTAATTTCTTCCTCACCGACATGCTGGGAGGTGGGTGCTCTTTGTCACCCCATCGTACAGATCAGGAAACTGAGGCACCAATAGGCCACGCTGCAGGCCAGGGAGAGGCGCTGGGATTGGCGCCAGATGGGCTGGCAGTGGAGCCTGCCCCCGCCCTGGCTGACATTCCAGGCACCGTCCTGTTTACCCAAATCCTCTGCTTTTTCCAGTTGAGAAATCCGAGACTCAGAGCAGTTGAGCAACAGCTGAAGGTCACACAGCTGGGGAGCAGCAGGGGCTTGGGCCCCTCGGAGTCCGCCAGGCTCCAGGCTCTGCTCCCCACCCCTTGGCTGCCCTGCCGCGGCTCCCAGCGCGAGTTTAAGCAATCTTGCCCGTCTCCACGTCTTTCCTGGCAAGGGCATTCCTCCCACCATCTAGAGAAGGATGAGGTTGGGCCCTGTGGATCCTCAGGGTCCCTGGCTGGCTGGGATCCGGGAAGTGTGGCGGATCTGGCTCCAGGGGCAGCCTTGCTGGGGGAGCGAGTGGGAAACTTTGCGAAACCCTAGATGGGCTGCGGGGGCTGTGACCCGGGGAGAAGGGGCGGGTACATGACACACATGAGAAAGCGGGGCACAGAGAAGGCTCGGGTGGGCCTCCCAGGGTTCTTTGCTCTTCCCAGGGGTCCCCCAAAGCCCAGGGCAGGCGTGCGAGAGATTGTGCAAGGACAGAGAGGGTCAGGCCAGTGCGGAGCTTCAGAGACACCACAGTGGGGGCACTGATGCGGCTGGGGGCTCTGCTGCTCTGTAAATATCTGGAGCAGCCCAGTGATTGCAGAAAGTGCGTCTGAAGCCAGGGGGGCGTGCTAGCGAGTGCGGCTGGCCTGGCCTCCCCTCCCCGACCGACTGCTCTGTTGCACTCCTCCCTGGCAGGAATGATGTTTTCCCTTCTGCAGCCTCATCAGGGCCACCCCCGAACGTGCGCAGGTGGGCTCCCCTTGGGACACATGGGCATGCTGGCCACGTAGGCATGCACGGATGTGGCCGCACCTGGGGATGCCCAATGCCTGTGCCAGCACCCGTGCCAGCTCCACCTCTTAGGACACCCATTCCTGGGCTACCCTGCAGAGGACGACACTGTTGCATGTTACAGACAGAGAACTGGGGCCATGACCAGCAGCATCACGGTGGGACAGAGCCTCTTTTAGTGGGCTCTTATGAATGCGGGACAGTGGGCGGGGCCATACTTTGCACGAATGCCTCAGCCTTCCTCATGTGACCCCGCAGCCAGCAATGGGGGTGCTGGGCTTCTGATGTCGCCCTGGACACCACAGAAGGGCACATGGACCCCAGTGACAGGGACATTGGCCAGGCGTGGGGCACAGCACCAGCCCTGCCCCACAGCAGGTGTCCGCATGGTAGAAGGCGGGATGATGAGCCCCGTGGCAGTTGCCTGGCCTTGGGGCAGATGGCTTCATGCAGGTAGACGGAGCTCAGTGAGAGGTACTTTTCTACGGCTTAACAGCTACCCAGCCTGCATTCTTTTGTCACAGCAGCAGAATCCACAGGGGCCCACACATTGTGTCCTGGAGAGATGTAGCAGCTGGGGGCCGTCACAGAGGGTCCCGGGCAGCCCCAGCCCCACGCTTGGGAAGGGCATCTGCGAGTGGACAGTGCGTCCTCAGCCCCACTGCAGGCCCGTATCTGTTGGTGGACACGCTTGAGCGCGTGTCAGGGGGAAGTCAGGAGGAAAGGTGAGGGGGGTGCAAGAGGAGGTGTGAGGGGGCGTGAGAGGGGTTGCAAGGGGGGAGAGGGGGCAGGAGGGGATGAGAGGGGGCAGGTGGGTGCGGTCCGCAAGGAAGAACACTCTCATCGGACCAGAGCTCCTTTCCCTTCTTCTAAAGCTGTTGTTTCCCCAGGGGAAACTTTTATTTGTGCATGAATAGGATGCAGTCCCTTAATGAACTGGAAGCAGAACGGGTGCACTTTTTTTTTTTTTTTTTTTTTTTCTGCTCCTGTTGACAAAGAGGAGAGAAGGAGCTCACTGGCCTTCAGCAGCCAGTGCGGCCACCCTCCCTCATCCCTGCGATGTCCTCCATGCCCGCTCCTCTGCTCCTGGGCAGAGCCAGGAGCTGGCGATGTGCCGTTGCGTTCTGCAACCCTGCTGGGAACGAGGGCCTTGGGGAGGCCAGGCAGCTGTCCAGCCCGCAGCGGACACGAGCATCATCATCCATCAGTCCATCTGGAGCACCCTGTCCAGAGCCAGGAGTGGTGCCCGCACAGGGACAGAGCGCCTGGAGGGTGCCTGCCAGTGTGGACGACTGTGGGAAGAACAAGGGGGCAAGGGACGCAGACCCCAGGTGCCCTGTACTTGCCCGCCAGCCGCCTTGGTCTCAGGGGCAAAGCCGGAGTTTCTGCCCCGGACTGCCCGGGAAGACTCCGTGCTAGATGGGAGAAGGTGAGTTCAGAGGATAGAGTGGTCCCCTGGCATCATCTACTGCTCCCCAACTCCAGGAGCTGCGGCGCTCCCCGAACCTCAGTTCTTGGTTTGTGGGTGTGGCCTCCACGGTGGCACTAGTTTCTCTCTCCGGCCTGGATTGAGGTAGCTGAGACTCCATAACAGAACCACATTCCCGCAGCAGCTCTCAGGAGGATCCTGAGTCATCAATTTTGTTCCCTGGCCCCGCCCCGGGGTCCCGGGAGAGAGGTCCCTCTCCACACAGAGGAGCCCTAGGGAGAGAAGGTGGTGGTGGTCTCAGCCTCTGTGCTCATGGAGACGCGGCGCACGTGCCGGCAGGAGGACCACTGTCGAAGCTGCTCCTGGCTGAGGCAGCCCAGGTCCTTGAAGAGCTTGAAGAGGTCGTTGCGGAACTTGACGCCGATGAAGGCGTACAGGAAGGGGTTGACGCAGCAGCGGACGGAGGCCAGGCTGTAGGTGATGTCGTAGGCGATGTTGAGCCGCTTGCTGAGCTCACAGGTGCTGCTGGTGACGTTGAAGTTGGCCACCGTTTGCGCCAGGACCACGCCGTTGTAGGGCAGCTGGAAGACAGTGAAGACCACGACCACGGCGATGATGACCTTGATGGCCTTGTTGCGCTCGAAGTTGCGCGCCTGCAGCAGCGTGCGGACGATGACAAGGTAGCAGCAGCTCATGGCCAGCAGGGGCAGCAGGAAGCCGAACACCATCTGTGCCACCTGGATGACGATCAGGGATTCCACCTGCTCCAGGAGGAGGGAACAGCGCTGCACCTGCTCGCTGATGCTTGTCTGGAGGCCGCTGTAGATCATCTCGGGGATGGACAGCAGCGTGGCCACCACCCATATGCCCACGCAGGACAGCTTGCTGACGAGGAACACGCGGGCTCGGTGGCGGTGGGCAGACACCGCCTGCACAATGGCCACGTAGCGGTCGATGCTGATGCACAGCAGCAGCAGCATGCCGCTGAAAAAGCTCATCTTATAGATGCTGAAGATGACCTTGCACAGCGAGACGCCAAAGACCCAGGACCTGGCCGCGCTGTAGGCCCAGAAGGGCAGGGTCAGCAGGAACAGGATGTCCGCCAGGGCCAGGTTGAGCAGGTACACGTCGGTCATGGTCTTGAGCCGCTTGAAGTAGACGTAGGTGAGCACCACCAGCCCGTTGCCCAGCAACCCCACAAAGCAGATGAGCGAGTACATGACCGGGAGGAACCAGGCTTTGAAGTTCCGCACATCCTTCTTGAAGCACACGGTCTCAAACAGGGTGTAGTCCACCGTGGTGTTGTCACCGGTGTAGTCGTCTGTGACTCCATCTTGGCAAAGGCATGCCTGGGGGGATATGAGAGGGCGAGCAGCCCGGGTCAGCTCAGCGGGTGGTGTGAGTCTGTCCACCATCCAGGCAGTGCAGGGACTCTACAGCGTGGTACCCATCATGGGTACCCCCTGGACTTCATAGAAATACACATTTTCAGCCCTCATCGGGAACTCCCCAGGGGTGTCTGTATTTTTCTCATATGTCTCGGTGATCCTTTGATTTGAATTGAGTTCTGGGAATCTACCATACATACGAATTTCCTGGGGGTCTTGCTGAAATGCATGTCCTGAAGGGTATCCCCACCAATCAGTAGCTGGGGGCTGACTTTGCCCATTCTCCACCTTCTGTGAGCTGACGGGGACCTGGATGTGGCCTGAGCCTTGGGTTCAGGCAGTTGGGCCTGTTAGGTGCCTGTCCCCAAGCCCCAGTTTTCTCACCTGTGAAGCGGGCAAACACTATTTCCTCATGGCCCCCACCCCTGTCCTGGCTTCCTTTCACATCCACAGAAGTTTTCTTTAGGCCTCAGGAAACCCGGTGAGATTGGGGATGTAAGGCAATCCCTGTCAGGCAAAACTTTTCAGGGGGCCACAAAACGCCCCGTGGTGGTCAAGGTGTGAGTGGTGAGGCAGCCTTGAGGGGGATCCCCACAGCTGCGCCTGGAAGGATGTGCTGGGGCTCCCTGAGCGTGTCACTGTCTCCTCTTACGCCGGTCGCAGCAGATCCCTCTGTGAAGCTCACTCAGGGGCTCTGAACTCTTTTCAGTCTGTCTAGGGTGAGGCTCAGCAGCCGCTGTGATTTTATCAATAAGGAGAGGCACAGGCCAGCTGTGCAGATGGCCCTCCCGACTCTTCTAGGAGCTGGGTACAGGCATATCTGAGTTCTGCATTCATCGCTGTCCTACCCGGGACGGAGGACAGTAGGTGCCCAGCAGCCTTCGCCCTCTCCGGGACACGCTGCCCTTGGTGGTGGCTGCTCTCGGAGCCCCCTGAAGGTCTGGAACTTAGGCCTGAGCTCCTGGACTCAAGGTCTTGGCCCCTCTGAGGGGCAGGACCCCCGGCCTCTGTGCGGTGTGCCCGCCCTCTCCCCTCCCCACACCTCCTGTCCCTGCAGCCTCACCGCCTCTGCAGCCCACATCCTGCTCTGTCTGTCTGCACCCCCCAGGAAAACAGAAGAATGAGCCCCGCGGCCTCTATCCCGCCCCAGCCTCTGGCTGAGCCCAGTCCCTCAGAGCAAGGAGCCCACAGCTTGGCCGTGGGGGCGGGGTGGCGAAGGAGAGGGCCTGGACTGGGCTGCAACAGCTGGGGGATGGGGCTATGGGAGCATTGCCCAGCTTCAGGCTGCCTCTGGCCAGAGCACCTGGAACGGTGCCTGTTTGGCCTGTAGGCCTGGGAACAAGCCCAGTGCAGAGGCCGGCCCCACCCCACAGCTCCCACCCACCCGACCAAGAGGAAACCCGACTCCAGAGTTAGTTTCCTGCTCGCCACTCCTGGCACTCAGCAGTCTGCTGTGTCCACTGCTGGGATCGAGGAATGGAAACGGGTGTGTGCGTGCATGTGTGTGCGTGCGTGTGTGCGTGTGCTTGCGTGTGTGAACGTGTGCACTCATGCATGTGGAGTCCAGCCCCTCCAACGCTTGTGACCACCCTCCCAAGGCAGTACTCCCCCATCCCTTGCTGGGAGATCAGATGAGCTTGTGTCACCACAGCTTCGGGGGATAGCGCAGAAGCTGGAACCCTAGATGGGGGTTCTGCTCTCTGCTCACACATGGCACTTACACACGCGGGTGAGTGTGGAGGTGCAAAGCACCCCATGTCCTTGTGTGTCCCCTCCTTTCCCTTGGGCTCTAAGGTCCAGCTTCTGGGTGAGGTCCCCTCCAGGCCGGATTGGGAGGGACTGGGGAGCAGCATCCCCTACTCTGGCTTGAGAGGTGTACAGGAGCTCAAAGGACACCTGTGGCTGTCCACTGTCACCCAGTCCCAGGACGGGGGCGGCCACTGGCCAAATGAATGGCTTGGGCCTAGGTGGCCACCTCCCACCACACCTGCCTGGCTGGCTTGGGACCCCATGTCCCCCAAGGGTCAGGAAACCTCACCTGGAACAGCAGGAGCAGGGCCACGGCCAGCAGGCTTCTCATTGGTTTCCCTAGAGGAGACAGGGGTGAGGTTATTGCTGGGCGGGGCCAGTACTTTCTTAGTACAGCGGGCAGCAGGTGGGTAGGACATCTGCCCTGCCTCCTGGTGTCGCTGTCCCCATTTCCTTCTGCTCTGGCCTGGTCCATGTTACTGCTGCTGGAGTGGGGGCCTGTCCTGGACTCCCATGACCCCGAGGCAGTGGGGCCTGACTCAGGGGTCCACTGCCTCTCCCATTCCTGTGGGATGTGAAGAAGAGGTGCAGCCCAGGGCAAGGATCACCAAGAAAACTGAATTACTGGTCTTTTCCACAATTTGAGGGTGCTTTGGGGACCCCACTACCACTCCAGGGCCCCATCCTTCCTCCTAGTGCAGGCCCAGGATGGACCTTAACGGTGCATAAGCCTAGCTTGTGCTGCCAACGCAGGGGGTTTCTGGTACTGCTATTCCCGGTGTGACCACAGACCGCTGTGCTGAGAGCTGGGGACCCTGACAGACACTCAGATAGCCCTCTGGGACCCCACGCAAGAGGTGAACCGCGCGACCATCTAGCGGCCCCTTCCCGTCTCCTGGTCCTCAGATCCCAGCCAGACCCTAGCCCCTAGGGGTGTCTGTCCCTGAGCTGTCACGCATGAACGCCGGGGCAGGACTTGCCGGCTGTCACAGCAGATGAAAGCGTGGGACTCCACTGCAAGGCTCGCCTCCTGGAGGCTGCGAAGCCGAGGACGCTCCTGTGCTTGGCGACAGCGCCACCTGCTGCAGCCTTGGGCACACGACACGCAGGTTGCCTGAAGTTCACTAGTTGGGCTTGGGGGTTCCTAGGCGTGGCAGGAAGGGGATGAGCCCCCCTTGGTGCACAGATCTTTCTGTCAGCTCCAGCAGGTCACCCTGCGTGCCACTGCCGGGGACGTCTTCAGGGGATGTCACTGTGATCCTAGCCCCAGGGCGCCTGCTTCCCAAGCCCACAGGACCCTGCCCTGCTGAAGCTGTGCTTTACTTGTCAATGGGCCCCCCACATGCCCTTAATCTTCTGTTTCTGGGCGCGGGTACCCCTGCCCCTGTGCCCAGCCGTGCGTGAGTACCATGCGTCCCGGCGGCGCCCGGAGCCCAGAGGCCGAGGGTTCCCGCAAGCACACCCTGGCGGCGTCCACGTGGCCCACCCCTGACTCAGCCTGCCGTTGCGTTCCTGGTTGTCTTCAACTCATCACCGTCCTTCAGTTACCCCCGAGAAAGCCCACTCTGACTGTTGTCGGAAGAGATCTCAACGTTCTGATCAGTTTTTGTAGGTGAGGTACAAAGAACAGGAGCTGTTTCTGTTTTACTCTGCTCAGTCTTTCCGTTTGCTACCATGGGGGCAGGGGCCTGGTGTGTGTGTGCGCGCGCGTGTGTGCGTGTGTGTATGTGTGCTCGCGCACACACGTATGTGAGTATGTGCATGTGCATGTGTGTATGTGTGGTTTCTTATTTCTAGTGATAGACTCGGGTCTGAGCAGGGATCCAGAGGCCCACGACAGCCCATTTTTGAGAAAGCTAGCAGGGGAAGTTAGGGGAATTCTGGTGGCCAGGGGTCGTGAGTCAAATCAGTCCTGTCTGTTATGAAGTCATAAAGCAACTGGTCCTGGGCAGCCACTGGCGTAGGAACCACGAGGCTGGGAATCTCGGGGTTTAAGGAGTGGTTGACCTCGATGTTAAGTATTTTTCTGAGTCCTTGAGTTTTTAGCAGTGATTATCATGAAAAGAAAATTCCCCCAACTCCTGCCTGATCCCCGACCTGAGAAACCCCTCAGAAGCAGATGACCAGGGCTGGCTACGCCAACCTTTTCTCTTTTTAGAGACAGGATTTCACTAAGTCACTAAGTTGCCCAGGCTGGGCTTGAATTTTTGGTCTTCCTGTCTCAGCCTCCCGGAGGGCTGGGGCCATGGGCGTGTCCCACCCTGGCCGGCTTCCTGCCTGGACTTTTTAGGCCAAAGCAATGGGGCCTTTGGAGGGCAAGGATGGGAGAGAGTTGGTGCCACCCTGGAGTGCCCATGGGGTCAGAGCTTTACCCAGTGGTGATGCTGTGCTTGTGGAGCCCTCCATAACGTACTGCCTCCCCTGGGACCATCGTTTTTCCTCACAGAGGTGGCTCCATATTACCCCCACCTACCAATGGAGAAACTGAGTTGTGGCAAGGTTAGTGACTTTCTCAGAGTCACCCAGTGGCCAGTAGTAGCGTTGGGCTTCGACCCCAGACTCTGGAAACTGCATCCTCCTGTGCTTGGGTGTCTGAGTCTTCGTGTGTCTCTGGCTCCTGACATCGTGCAAGGTGACATCATGTATCCTCCTGTTATGTTCCAGACCACAGGAGTCCAGAGAGGTGAAGCCACTTACTGGGGGTCGCACAGCAGCTAGCAATGGGCTTGAGATGCTGCACACCCTTCAAGACCCAACTTAAGTGCCCTTCATCTATGTTTGCCATTCTCTCCTTGTCCTGCTGGTGTGCTCATTAATGCTACATCTGTCTCTGTCACAGCAGCGCACAGATGTGCCTGTCCTTCTCCTCCCTGGCCTTATCAATTCCTGAATTCCCAACCAATGACAGAATGGCTGAAAGAAAGCAGCAAGCAGAGGGACTATGTCCTCAGGACCCCCGGCTGCCGCTGCAGTGTCCTGCGCAGCGCAGCCAACCTGCTGGCCCCGGTTTCCTCGGTGTCCCCTCATCCTCTCGTCCCCTTGGTGCTGTTTCTCACCAGCCTGGAGGATGCCAGCCTCTCCTGTGTTTGTCTGTGTTTTCTCTGCTTTTGAGACCTCTGAGGTCTGGGGCACCTCGGGCTGCTCATTCAAACCGGGAAAAAAAGCCACCCAGCCTGCGCTGAGCTCTCGCTTTGTGTAATAGAAACTCGGTCTTCTCACTGCCTCGTGTTCCCTGCTGCCTTCGCGGTCCACCCGCACTCTCAACGGCCCAGGAGCGTTTTGAGCAAAACGACCAAGACAGTTCGGCCACTGGGGTTGTCTGGGTTAGGAGGTGGGAGTCCCCTCCCTCCAGGCCAGACGGCGCCCTGCCTCTCTGCCTCTGCCACCCCTAGACATGGTCCTGGGGGACACTCAGTAGGGGTCTGAACCAATGGCAGCTTCCTACTGTGTTAAGCCATGTAGGCAGGTCTCCATGGGGAGTGTGGGTGCTCCAGGTTTGTGGTCCTCAAGGTGGGTGGCTGGGGGTGACCTTATGGGGCAACTTGGCTGGGAGAGGTTGAAAGAGAGTTTTCTTTTTCAGATAATATTGAGAATTGAACCCAGGAACTTGGCGCTGAGCTACATCCCCAGCCCTTATTTTGTTTGAGGAAAGGATCCTGGTAAATCGCCCAGGCTGGGCTTGAACTTGAGATCCCCCTTCCTCAACCTCTCAGAGCACTGGGATCACAGGCACAGGCGCAGACCACCACACCCATCTGCGAGAGATTTGCACAACCTCGGGTTGCCTTAGAGTGGCTCCTTCGTTCGTTCATTCATTCATTCATTCATTCATTCATTCATTCATTCCACAAACACTTCCCACTCGTGCCTCAGGCAGAGGAGGGCACAGAGAGGCTGGGGTAAGAGGTGGCCTTCGAGGCTCACACTCAGAGTGGGGAGCCCTCTGTCCATGCGCAGAGCTCAGTGGGTGGGGAAGGCAGAGCCGCGGGCTGTGGTGTGGTGAGGAGGGTTCTGGACCGCGCGGGAACCTTCACTTTTTAAAGCCGCCCTCTTGTGGCTTTGAGGCCACGCTGGCTGGCTGGCTGGCGGCGGAGCCCTCTAGGAACCTGGCCTTCGGCTGGCCGGGTCAGATCTGCAGGTGAGATTGGCATCTAGGGCATCTGGAGGACCTGCTCTTTGAGCACCCTTTCCCAGGGTGCCCCTCAAAGTTTCTCTTGTCCACTGGGGGCCCAGCTAGGGCATCTCCACCCCAGTGCCCCCCCCCAGCTGGGCCCTGAACTCACAAGATGTAATGGTAAAGCGGTTGTGACGGCGAGGGTGAGGTGGCGGGCATTTGCAGGGCTGGCACCTAGCCCACGCGTGGGCAATGTCAACTTTCCCCTCCTCCAGCCCCGCAGCCGGGAACCAGCACAGTCATTCATTTCCCCTCTCTCGCTGCCCAGAGTCCTGGGGGCCTCATCCATCAACCCAGTTTCCCCCAAGACACCCAGCTCAGCCCTGCTAGTCGCCCAGCCCCGGGCACCAATGGCTGTCCTGCCCCGTGACCCTGGATGACAAGGAGGCCTTGCAGGCAGCCTGGTGTCTGCAGCCCTGGCGCTGCTCCTCAAAACGGAGCTCACTCACCCGGGTCCATGATGCTGCAGACAGCTGCCACCACACAGGAAGGCTGTGCCCGCGTCCCCGGCTCCCCTGTCTGGGGAGGAAGTGGCATGGAGCCCCTTTTAAGACGTCCTGGGAGCCACCCTCGCTCCGCCTCCAGCCTCCGCCTCACTGGGGACCGCAGGGTATAAGAAAGTGACAGAGTGACGCTGGTCATAGGACCCTGAATCACCTGGTCATTTACATTCGAAAACCCCCAGAGCCTAGGTGAAGGATGTCAGGGACCCACGTCCCCTCTTCCCCTGGTTTTGGGTGAAATTCTTTGAGTTTCACTATCAGCTCAGCTAGTAGCCACTGTCGAAGCAGCCACCAGAAGCCAGATGGCTGAGCACCGGACACAAGGGCCACCTGTCACCTAAGAGAGGTCCTCCAGGTGGCCCCACCCACACGGCATCTATGGGACAACCACAGAGTGAAAGTTGAAGAGCCTGTTTGAATTTACAGATCCTGGAGTGGCGGGGGTGGGGGGACTGATGGGGCACAGGGACCCAGAAGGCCTCTGCGCTGACAGCCTGTAGTCGGTACAGGTGTTACCCTAGCTGGTTTCCCACGGGGACCTTTAGTTATTCGTCTTTTTGAGACAGGTTCTTACTTGGAGTTTAGGCTGGCCTTGAACTTGCCCAGGCTGGCCTTGAACTTGGGACCATCCTCCTGCCTCAGCCTCCTGAGTGCTGGGACCACAGGTGTGCACCCCATGTCCAGCTGCCTCTACGTCTCTATCTTTGCTGGGGGGTGGGAGCTGCTCCAGTGGGGGATGGTAGTGGAGGCGGGGGGTGGGGGTGGGGAGTTGTATTTTCTGGTATGAGAAAGTCAAACAGGTATATGCGTAGGTATAGAGAGCCCTTTCTGGTCCTTTTCTTGGTCTGGTAAATTTATATTTGTAATCCTATGGATAAGTTATTGGGATCCTATGAAGTTAATTCCAAGCTACCGCTTCCAGTGCAACCCACAGCGTGAATAAAGACACTAAAGCATGTTTATAGTTATGGGGAACCAAGGGGTCCTATGTCCAGTTATACCGATGGCCACCTGGAACAAAGACCTCGACTCAGGGCCAAATCTGGGTTTAGTTTAGTCCTCCTCCAAATCTGGCAGGAGGAGTGGCTTGAGGATGGATGGCTGAGAATGGCAGGAAGGAGGTGAGCGCTGTGAGCTGGGCTCGGTAGGAGGTCTGAATTTACCTTGATGATATACAGAGAAGGATAAGCAGAACAAAGTAATTTGCATTATACCATTGAGATAGTATCTAGGGCCAGGGAGATAGCTCAGTGGAATAAGCGCTTGTCTGGCAAGCATAAGGTCCTGAGTTCAATCCCTGGTACTGCAAAGAGAGAGAGAGAGAGAGACAGAGAGAGAGAGAGAGAGAGAGACAGACAGACAGACAGAGAGTATCTAATGTTTTAGGGGCCAGTTCTTCAGCTCTGATGTGTGATTTTTCAAGCCCCAGGAAGTATCCTCTATCTTGAGGCTCGGTCCCAGCCAACAGCGTGGAGCACTGGCTCTTCGTCCTGTCTTGACCTGGCTCATATTAAAGAGCAGCAGTTCAGGGTTTCCAGGGAAACACATGTGTCATCTTCAAAGACTACCACCAGCACCTCTGCTAGACCAGTGCGCATTGCTTAAAGCCAATTGAAGAGATTAGGAAAAGCCCTAGCCAGCTCTGTACCTATCAATACATGGAAATGCGGTCAGGCTCAGCCAAAACGGAGACAGTTGCTCTTCCTTCAAAGACAGCTGCTCAGGTGGTCCTCCACACCTAGGAGTGGACTTTTTGGGTCAGATGGTCACTGTAAGCTTGACTTTTTTTTTTTTTTTTCTGAGACAGGGTCTTGCTATACAGTCCGGGCTGTCCTTAAACTCACACTATTTAGCCCAGGCTGGACTCCAACTCACGGTGATTCTCCTGCTTCAGCCTTGCTGGGATTACAGGTATGCGCCACCAGACCAAACTGTATGCTTAGGGAAGGGTCTACAGGGTGTTCAGGGTCTTACTACTAGATTGCACTCATAGTGATCTTCATGTTTTCAGCCTCCCAAGAGCTGAGATTACAGGTGTGCGCCACCACACCCAGTCTCAATTGCTGTCTCAGGGTGCCCCAGGGATGGGGCTGGCACGGCAGGCCTGAGGGTCGAATCCCTGGCCCCTGTGCCTGCTTGCAAGCACTTTAATCCGCTGAGCTCTTCGGCTGGTCCTTGTATGCTTACCATTTTGAGGAACTTTTAAACTCTTTTCCAGAGTCATTGCACCATTTTATGTTTCCATCAGCCATGTACAAGGGCTCCATATAGTCAACAAAACTTGGTATTAGACAACAATCTTTTGATTCTATCCATCGTGGGAAGATGGAGCGTCATCTCATTGTGGTTTTGATATACATCTTCTAAATGATTACTGATACTGGGCATCGTTTCATGTGTTTCTTGGCCATATGTTTTCTTTGGAGAAATAGCTATTTGAATTTCTTGCCCATTTAAAAATTGGCAATAAATAAATAAATAAATAGTTTAAAAAAGCGTTTGGGAATATAGCTCAGTGGCATAAACGACTACCTGGCAAGCGCAAGGTCCTGAGTTCGATCTCTGGTACAAAAATACAAACAAATTAGATCATTTGTTTTATGGTTGAGTTGTAAGATTTCTCTATGTGTGAATATAAGATGTATATTTATATAAGATCATCTCAGATGTGTATTTAGAAGTATTTTCTCTCATCCTGTGGTTTCTCTTTAGTCTCCTGTCTGTGTCCTAATGAAGGACATTTTTTTTTTCATAACTTTGAGAAATAAATAGCAATGAGACAGTTTCAAATCAAATTGGTAGGACAGAGGGCCCTGCCCTTTAGCTCAGTTCTTTAAGTGGCTGCTTCCACAAGGCAGTCAGGCTCAGGTTGCTGTGGTTCAATCCCCACAACTCAAGCCAGCCAAAGCTGCCCTGAAGGCATTCGGAGCAAAAAAAAAAAATTGGTAGGACAGTTTCAATAATTAACACATTGCATACTCTTTTCCTAGTGGTTATTTGCTGTACAAGATGCAGACATGATATCCTATTTACAAACACTATTAGAACAAATCCCTCTATTTATTAAGAGAATGTAACTATATATCTATCCTAACCATATGAGAGACAACTTAAAATTTAAGGTCTAATTTATTTATTTTTCTTTTGTCATCTGGGCTTCTGGTATGACATTAAAGAAAGTGTTGTCTAATTCAAGTTCACACAGATTTAATCTTATGCTTTTTTCTTAAAATTGTATAGCTTTATTTATTTATTTATTTTGCCAGAACCGGGGATTGAACTCAGACCCTTGCACTTGCCAGGGAAATGCTTATTCCACTGAGCCATCTCCCCGGCTAAAAATTTTTTTAAAAAATTATTTGGTACAGGCTGTCACTATGAAGCTCAGACTTGTAGTGCTCCTCCTGTTTTTAGCCTTCCCAGTGCTGGGATTACAGGCCCGCCCCACCATGCTGTCTTGGTGGCTGGCTCAGTGTGCCTGGAGGTGGGGCCGGGGCAGCATGTGGTGCTGCGGATGGAAGCCTGGTCTCTGATCTTGCCTACACAGGCACTTAGTCTGTTGAGCTATCTCACCAACCCTTGAAAGTCTATATTTTTAAAAATTCTGTTTAGTCTGTATTATTTTCTTCTTTCTGTTTGATTTGGGTTTAGTTCACTTTTTTCTTAAAATGAAAGATTAAGTTTTCTATTTGATGTGTTTCTTTTTCAGATGTAGGTATTTGTTGCTGGCAATTTCTCCACAAGCCCTGTTCTAGCTGCAGCCTGTAAGTGTTGGAACGTTGTGCTTGCATTTTCCTCATCTTAGTGTCTTTTGGAATTTCTCCCCTGAGCTCTTTTTGGATCCATTAATTATTTAGGAGTGTGTCCGTAAATCTCCGCATATCCTTAAGTTTTCCTCTGTCACTGCTTGTGAGCAGAGAATACATTTTGATCTCCAGGGATCCCCGTGTCCCTCCAGCTTTAGGACTGGTGCCTGCTTCTCACTGTCCTTGCTTTGGGGTGGCCTTACATTTTTCGCTTGGCATCAGATTTTTTTTTTTTAAATCACTGCTATTTCTGTTACATCGCTCCTATGTTTAGACTCCACAGAGTGGGTCTGGCTTGCGTTGACCCTAGCTGATGCAAGGCGGTTCCGGTTCCTAAGGGGTTTGGGTCCTAGGAGTTGTGTGAGATTACACCACTGCTGTCGCGGTCATGAGCGAGGGCAAACACGGCGCGAGGCCACGTCTCTAACAAAAGCAGGAATCTCAGGACGGCGCAGGCCCATAGCCGGCACACAACCGGTGGAAGGTTTTCCCTTCCCTAAGCTCCCGCAGGGCCTTCGGGTGGGTGGCGCAGCCCGGGTGGCCGTGGGGAAGGGCAGGCGTGCTCCCGGGGTGGAGGCGCCCAGCCGCGGCCTCCCTGGCGCGCTCGAGCCCCGGGCCTTTCCCTGGCACCCTGCCCGTTGCTTAGGCATTCTCCATCGGTCTCCGTTCTCTAGATGGAGACGCCAGAAGCCCACGCCGGGCCTTGCACTCACTCGCCTGCACTCGCAGCAGGAGCCCACTACCTCCTCGGACCTCAGCAGGTCCTGGGGTGGGGTGGAGGGGACGCTAGGAGCCTATGCGTTGGCGGGTATGTTGGTAAGAAAGGACAGGGCCACAGTTTGGGATGATTCTAGAAGTTTCTTTCCGATGCTTCTATGAAAAAATGAGCTTAAAGCCACAAGACCCATATTCCACCCCTCCAAGCCCCTTTTGAACTCCTTAGGTGAGTGTGGCAAATTGCTTCCTGTGTATTGGCCTTGGCAGTAGGAAAAACAAAGGGATGGGGACCACAAACAGGTCAGGCTGCTCCCGCAGGAAAACCTTCTGGCTCCCAGGCATGGCGTCTTTGTGGGACCTCGGGGGCTCCCCGCCCCTCCCCGCAGCTCCTTGTGCGCCAGGCTTGGAGACCTCAGTTTCAGTTTCTTAGCTGGGCTCTGCACAAGGCCCTGGGAATTCCCGGGTGGTTCTGAGCCCTG